GTATTATTATTATTATTATTAGTTGTTGTTGTTGTTGTTGCAGTATCATTAGTAATAGCTCGTTTCCCATTTTTCCTTCCCTGCTTGATCTATCTATATATCTGTGGCACCATTTAACGAGGCAGAAAAGGAAAAGAAAGAAAAGAAGGCAGAAAGAAAGGCGAGATGTATCGTGGGTGATAAGCAGAACACACACACGGCTAAGAGGCAATGGATATATTGATAAGTAACAAATGGCGAAAGGGTGTCATTACAATGACAGGGAAATTCTGAGTAAAAAGAAAGGAAAAGAAAGAAAGAATCAGATGGGTTTTGATAACGGCTGTTTTATTTAGGGGTACGTAAACAAACTGCTGGTCGACTGGCCAAAGAAAATTTCAAATGAAAATGTTATTTCGATAAGTGACGAAAAACAGGCAACTAAAAGGGACTTTGGACAGATATGAAAAATTAAAAGCCACACAAGCCGTGTCCGCTGACCGATTTTTTTTTCGACGGAAAATCCTTGGCCTGCGATAATAAAATTATGTTATCAGAAATATGTACCGAAAAGGAATGAATGGGAATTTAGAAATGTCTTTTCGGGGCGACGTTGGCCGTGTTAAGAAGACCAACCATTCTGATAATTGGCGATAAAATACCTGACTAAAAACACGTGTAGAACAAGAGTTATGACCGCCATTGTTCATATTGTCCCGTTACGGCTAGAGAAATGATAACGGCGATTAAGAGGAAGAAAAGGAAAAGAAGGGATATTTTTTTTAGTTAAGCAAGATATTTTTTTCTTCCTGAAACAAAGCCGCGGATTCGTCCACGCCCGACTAAGACATCATTGGTCGAGTGGTGATCACGTGACGCACGAAGGAGGCTGTCTCCGCCTCATCCAGAGTGTAGGTATGAGAAGCTGCTACGAAGAAGTGGGGAGGGTAGTTCACGCCCTCTGAAGTATGGTGAGAAGGTGGGAGCAAGGAAAGGTACCCAAAAATGGAAAAAGGTGGAAATTCCTAACCAGAGAGGTGGATATGTATTTAGAATTATCGAGGAAACCCCGACGCCAACAGATCCACCCCGGTTTTGGTCGGCGTCCATATAAGCGAAGCCCCAACAGGCAGAGATCAGTTGAGTTCCAGAGTTCCAGGAATTCAGTTCCCAGAGTCAGTATCCAGTTGAAGCCGCCTCGCAGATAGCTGACCAAGATTGACGCAAATTCCGGACTCCTCTTCAACCCAAGATCAATTATTTTGAAGAGCGACTTAGATCCAGACCACCGAAATAAGTTTTTTTTTTCGACTTTCGTCCGAAGACACACCGAAAAACCAATTTCTTAGAAAGCAAACAACTTGAAGCGTTAAAACTCGCCTAACGGAAAACGACGTGTCACAATCCATAGAACGGGTCGGGAGATAGATGCAGTCCTATGTATCGAACAACTAGACATAAAGTTTGTTACCTTTTTCTTTGATAGTTTAAACTTTTTGATTTTATTTTCTTTTATGCATATTTGTGTGATATCACCCCCGTTGAACTCGGTTTGCATTACGGCCCCAACCACTGATTGATCTCGACTGCCTAAGATCAAGTCACAACGTGGGTAGGCAGACTGGAGATCAATGCAGTTACCTTGGTAACCAGGGGTTGGAAGCGAGTTGGGAACGACGAGGCTGATATCAAATCTAACCAGATTCCCAAATTCGAATCACCAAAAAGTTTAGAACGTCACATTTGGGTGCCGCGACCGATACCAAGCCAGTTGGTCGTCACAGGACGAGACAACACGACTGACGCGACAGGCAGACGTCACGTTTGGAGCAGCGACACCCGAACGGAGCAGCGAGGAGCGAACAGCTGGCGCCGCGGCGAGGACGTCACAATTGGTGCTGTTTGGGGACGTCACAACTGGTGCCGTGGTAGATCAGGATAGAACAAGACAGTTGGCGCTGCGACCAGGGGACGACGTCACATCTGGTGCCGTGACCAGGATAGAACGTCACAGTTGGCGCTGCGACCAGGGGACGACGTCACAGTTGGTGCCGTGACCATAGCATAGGACCCTGGAGCGGCCACGTCACATATCTTTTCCATCTCTCTCTCCCTCTTCCTCTCTCTCTTTCTCTCTCTCTCTCTCTCTATATATATATATATATATATGTTTGTGTGTGTGTGCTTGTGTGTATATATATATTTGTGTTTGTATACATATATATATATATATGTGTGTGTGTGTGTGTGTGTCAGCGTGTATATATATATATATATATATATATATATATATATATATATAATTGGTATATACGGAATGAATTCCAATAACCAACAATTACTATTCTTAAAAGAGTGCTCAATACAAAGTAGAGCAGATATAATTATTATATATTAAAAAAATTATCCAAAATGGATATTTTTTTAGTGATTTTATAACATACTTATTTTTTATAAATAATAATCATATATATAATCATATATATATATATATATATATATATATATATATATATATATA